GATGCAAGGGGACCTACTCAGTCCAACCCCTCGACCTCAGCCCCAAGCACATCTCCAAGATAGCCTGGGTGAAGAACCCCAGGAAATCCAGTTCGGAGGCCTACCCGGTCCTCCCCTTGTAGGCTCAAGCTCCCTACTGGCTCGACCACCTTAAGGAGTACAAGAAGACAGTTGTCCTCTCTCTAGGCTAGGGGGACGCCAAGCTCGTGAAAAGGAGGGCCCCAACCTGCCTACTCCTCGAGGACACACTCTGCTACGCGACCTATACCCCGAGGAAGGCCACCAGGGAGAACCAATTCTCCTCGTCCTACGGCTTTGAGCCCGAACCTCCTCCGAGGTAGCCATACTTTCCCATCGGGCAAAAGAATACGACCACTGCCTCAACGAGGACAACCACCGGACCTCCGAGCCGAGAATTACCAATGCCAAGCTAAGGCCTACCACGACAAGCGTGTCTGACCTCGTTACTCCTAGGTCGGCAACCACGTCAAGACGCTAAAAGGAGAGATGATAAATAGAGTATGGAACTCCGAGCACTTGCTTAAGTACTTCCAATATTTACATCTTGTAAGGTGGTCCGCCCCCCTCAACTTCAATAAATGCAATAAAACTTTGCCATGGACTCATTTTCACTATTCCGGGTGGGGTGGAGGTGCCGATCCAGCCTCTTCGGCTACCCTAAGGGGGTGCGAGGCCCGACCTCATTGACTACCCGACGGAAGAGCCTAGCGGCCCAAGTCTGGCGACTTGGGGCCGACAGGCTACCCTAAGGGGGCACGAAACCCGACCTCGCTTACCAACCCCGATGGAAGAGCTTAACGGCCCAAGTCCGGTGACTTGGGGCCAACGGGCTTGCCCTAATAGGGCACGAGGCCCGACCTCGCATACCAACCCCGACGGAAGAGCTTAATGGCCCAAGTCCGGTGACTTGGGGCCGACGGGCTTACCCTTAGGGGGCATGAGGCCCAACCTCGCGTACCAACCCCGACGGAAGATCTTAACGGCGCAAGTCCGGTGACTTAGGGCCGACGGACTTACCCTAAGGGGGCACGAGGCCCGACCTCGTTCGCCACCCGACGGAAGAGTTCTTGGACCAAGGGGTACCCTTAACCAAGCAACTACACCTACCAAAAAAAAACAAAATTACTAAAGCTACTCCATGGCAAGAGGTCTAACCTCTAAGTAGAGCCCAAACTCCGGGGTTGGGTCAAGACAATGAGGATATCCATCAACTGAAGTCAAACACAGCCAAGGAGGGCGCAGGGGGACTCGAGCTTAGCCCTCCCAAGGCGACCTTAGCTAGGGTGGTCCCGGCTAGAGGTGACCTCGGCTGGGGTAGCCTCGGTTAAGGGTGGCCCAGAGCCCAACTCTCTCTAACAAGGAGGCTACCTCATGAGCTCGCCCAAGAGGAGGACGCATCAAGGAGGCTACCTCATGAGCTCGCCCAAGAGGAGGACGCATCAAGGGGGCTACCTCATGAGCTCGCCCAAGAGGAGGACGCATCAAGGGGGCCACCTCGTGAGCTCGCCCAAGAAGAGGATGGTTACCTCATGAACTCGCCCAAGAAGATGACGTATCAAGGGGGCCACCTCATGCGCTCGCCCGAGAGGAGGACAGCTACCTCATGAGCTCGCCCGAGAGGAGGACAACTACCTCATGAGCTCGCCCAAGAGGAGGACAGCTACCTCATGAGCTCGCCCAAGAGGAGGACAGCTACCTCATGAGCTCGCCCAAGAGGAGGACGCATCAAGGGGGCCACCTCATGAGCTCGCCCAAGAAGAGGACGACTACCTCATGAGCTCGCCCAAGAGGAGGACGGCTACCTCATGAGCTTGCCCAAGAGGAGGACGCATCAAGGGGGCTACCACATGAGCTCGCCCAAAAGTGAACTCAGAAATCAGAGTCTCATACATGATGCCAAGGATTCCAAGACTTGTTAGTGTTCTTGTGGAAGAGAAGAAGTCCCGATTGCGATGGAATCACACCAAAGTCGGCCAAAGAGGAATGAGGAAGAGAAGAAGTTCCGATCGCGATGGAATCACACCAAAGTCGACGACGACTCGCAACTCGGAGAGTGGGGGACTGATGATGGATATATTAGGAACTGGCTCGGGACAAACCAACCCGAGAAGGCGTGATGCAAGGGGCCAAGGGCGACCCCGGCACGGGCCGACTAAGGCCTCGGCTAGGGGACTCCCGCAGCCCGGCCAAGGTCGACCCGGGAAGGCGTGGTGCAAGGGGCCAAGGGTGGCCCCGGCACGGGCCGACTAAGGCCTCGGCTAGGGGACTCCCGCGGCCCGGCCAAGGTTGACCTCGGCAGGGGTTTACTTCGACCCGTCGACCACGGCTGGGGCCTACCTCGACCCAGGGGCAGAAGGCTGCCCCTGGTCCTCGCATGGACTCGGTCAAACCGCGATCCAACCGCCCCACTAGAATAGGGTGGGCGGTTAGGAGGTTAGCTAATATAAAAAGGGGGGATCATTGTCTTGTTGAGGGCATCTACATATGGGTCTTATTATTACATTCACCTTGTAATTCTCCTACAAACCTTATCAATACAAAAGTTGTCCCCGCAACACACATTTATCGCTTTTATTACCGCATTATTCTAGTCCTATTATTATCGGGTTTAGTAATTCGGGCTACCCCGGGTTAATTAAATCCATCAGGGTCATTCCTCGTGCTGAGGGGTTTGAACATGCAATTTATGGAATGACAACACAAGCACCAACCAACCAAACCTCTTCTCAAATTGTTTACATTGGGCATGAATGCATGATTGAAAAAATCGCTAGACACTCCTCGGGTGCTCAGGGGACACCTAGCGCCTAGGCGTCCGTGTATTTTTTATTCTATTTTTTATTTTTTAAAATTTTTTTAATTTTTTAAGACTTGATAATTTTAAACTATTTAATACTTTAATAGTTAATACTAAAATATTAAATATTAACCTAAAAACATCTAGAGTTTAAACAATTTAGGATTATTTTGCTCAAAACGATGTCATTTTGAGTTAAATAACCTTTTTAAAAAAGAAGTGAACAATAGCTAATTGGCGCATAGTCGGTGACTAAGCGGCCTAGGAGACCTAGTCGGCCGCCTAGACCACCGATTATGGCGATATGCTAGGCAGCCGGGCAGTGCCTAGGCGCCGATTAATCGGTGCCTAGGCAAAATTTTTGCAACACTAACATTTGCACAACTGGTCATACATATACTGTTCAAGAGCGCTAACAGAAAAATAATGAAGTAAAGATGAGGCACATGTATGACTAAGGTGAAAGTCAAATAAAGACCACACACTTGTCAAACTACTTCTCAAATTGTTCACATTGGCACAACTAGATATACATATACAGTTGAAGGATGCTGACAACAAAATAATAAAGTAAAGATGATGAGTTAATACCTCCAATGGTCCTCCGAGTATTAGCCACATACCAGTTGTGGTCATCTGAATTTTAAACGACTACACGTCCTCCAAGTTTTTAAAAATAAACACCCATAGTCTTCCTGTTATGTTTGCTATCAAATGGTCGTTAACTGTGAGGGCAAACTTGTCATTTATCCTATATTAACTCAAAAACCAATCAAAATTAGACCTATTGCTGATTTGTTATACTCGTCTTCTTCCAAAAAGTTTCCTTCTTCTGCCAAGATAATGGACGACAATGTTGAGCAGGAGATGGAACCTGCGCGGGCGGCGAGAGGTGTGGGTGCAGGAGTAGAGGCCTCCCACAGAGTGAATTTCCAGAAAACGCCTCCGCCGGTATTGTTTCGAGGCTCTTCGGCACCGTCCTATTTAAGCTGTTGAAGGAGACGTTAAACTGGTCGAGGTTTGGGAGCTGTAGCTCCGGAATGGACACGGACAAGCGATTGTTTTCGAGATAGAGCGTGCGCAAACGGGTCAAGTTGTTGAACCCGGACGGGATTTCGCCGGAGAAGTTATTGCTAGCAAGATTCAGCCGGACGAGAGAGTGAAGCTTGGAGAGGAAAGAGGGCACGGGCCCAAAGAAATGGTTCCCCTAGAGGTACAGGTTCCGAAGCTCCGTACATTTAGAGAAGACGAAAGGGAGAGACCCAGAGAGGCTGTTGAGGTGAAGGCTGAGTGTACGAAGGCGCATTAAGTTGGCAAGAGTGTTCGTCGGAATTTCCCCAGAGAGAGAAGAGCCCGGGAGCCAGAGAACATCAACCCTTTGGTTCTCGCATTTCACACTGGCCCTGTTGCAGGGGGTGGAGTCGGTGGTGTTCCAGAGAAAAGCGCAGCCACCCACGGTGGAGCGGAAGGCCAACAGCGCAACAAGGTCAGTGCTTAGATCTGAAGAAGCAGCGAGAGAGACGAATGGGTGAAGCAGAAGTAACAGCAGCTTTGGCAACTTCAAGTGCAGAAGCAGCGAGAGAGACCGTGAAGCTCCCATCAAGAATCTCATATGGTTTCCACGGCACATTCACCGGCCCAATTTGCTACCAGAAGCTTGATCAGAAGGGTTAAGGAAGAAATATAGGTGAAATGACATGTTTACTCTCATATTTAACGTCCATTTGATACCAAACTTAACGGAGGACCACGGGTGGTTATTTTTAAAAACTTAAAGAACGTCTCTTGATCGTTTAAAAGTCGAATGATCACAACTGGTATATGACTAATACTCAGAAGACCATTGGAGGACTAATACTCAGAAGACCATTGGAGGTATTAGCTCTAAAGATGAGGCACATGTATAACTAAGGTGAAAGTCCAATAAAGACCACACACTAGTCAAGCCATGGTCTTCAATACTAAAATGACACCCTTGTTGTACCCAATGTGAGCCATCCACCTAGCTTGGAGGTGTCTTGCCTGCACAACCCATTTACCTAAGTTTGATTCCTATCCAATTCATTATTATTTATAGTCCATCACTTCTTTGAACCGTTATCTCGGACATCCCATAGCTGATTTATAGTGGATTCGATCCCATAAAACCTTCAGGTACATAAATCTGGCCTAGTCCACAATATAACAATGCTGAAAGATGTTCTGCAGAAATTTTTGCAATTACTGTCACCAACAATATGTCCGACTCTTGTAGCTGTAGAGTTTCTAGAGCAGTATGGGATCCATCATCCATGAAAATGATATAGGCTAGACAACACATTACAATGTTCAATCTAAACTGACAATGGATGCTATATCAAGAATATATCATGGAATAGAAGCTGCACAACATCCTTCCACCTAAACATACAGGGTGTTGTTCAGCAAAGGTGTTCGGCGTTCTTCGACTGACCTTTTAATCTTCCTTCATACTACGAAAGCTCTACCCTTCGATGTACCAGTAAACTATAAGCCGGGAGGTTTAAACAGCGGAACCAGGCCAAAGATCCCTTCGATGTCAACTGGAGCGTTAAGCGCTTGCTTGAGAATCTCTGGTGCATTTGTTGTTCCTTTCCATGTGTTGAACCATGGTCCTCCTCCAACTTCTACACCTGCCATGTTACTCGTAACATCCAAGATCGCCTACAAAGTAGATACAGCTCAAATTTTGGGAGGAACTAAATCATATTCAAGGCATAAAATCTGAATCCTAAATGGAAAGATAATAACCTTTCCTTTACTGCCATCATAGCGGCGTTCCCACAGTTGCAGTCTTAGGTCAGCATAACAAGTATCTCGACATACAGGAGCAAGACCCATCTCTTGAGTAGGGGCACGCAATGTTGTGCCCGGGTCACTCGTTCTTGCTTCAAGTTCCACCTGCTCACATATTATTATCTCCGTTATACTTCCACTTGTGACTGTTACATTCAGAATTTCAGATTAACAATTGTGATCCAAACCCCGACACGTTTGAATAGACTGACCCAATTGCAACCTTGGCATCAAAATTTACCTTGTGTGTCGCATTCTCTGCAGTTATGTACCAGTGGCCCCACGGAGAAATTTCCCAAGTTACAGAACCATTCCATGGCACAAATTCGTAAAAGACACCTCCATAGTGAACTGCTATCTGCAATGTTTGATGGAACAATTTATAAAATAAAAAATAAATATGCCCAAATATACTTGGCATGATCATAGAACAAGTAGGGCAAGAATAAGAATAAAATATCGGAAAAAAATACCTTTGTTTGATGCATAATACTTTGCTTACTAAAATTCAGAGGTAATGGCAGTACAAGAGTTAAAAGAAAAATGGAACTTCATATATATAAATTTTAAGCTAGAAAATACCAGTGCAGCATTTTCAAAGTTGTCGCTTGTTCCAGGTCCAGGAATTTGCCTTAATCCACCGCCAGAAGTTAAAGAAACTTCTCCATCAGCACCTTCAAAGACATTGCATTGGACCTGCAAATTCAATATACGATACGTCCACATTAAAAAGATCCTAAAACTTGAAATATCAAATCTTATTTTTCACCTTTAGGATTTAGCAGCTTCTTTTTTATCCTATTTCTTTTCCACTTTTATACTTTGGTTACTATAGAAACAGGGTTCAAAGAAGCAAATGATTCATTTTCAATCACAAAAAAATTCCTCTCCGGTGTATCAATTTGCAAGGTTTGACCTTTACTTAAAAATAAAATAAAAACTATTTCTTCCTGTCATAGATTCATAGATTTTTCGGATTGCATATTATTTTAAATTATCAGCCTCCTCATCATAGAATCAGATAAGCATAAGAGTAACTAAGTAACATATCACTCTATTAAAAGAAAAGGAATAGCTGTGGGTAAATAGATGTAAAGAAGAAGGTACCCAGAACCACTTTCTAGGGAAGCCATCACCCCAGTTCTTCTCAGAATATGATGGGGCATTTTCGAACTCATACCTCTCACCATCCCACTCTATCCAACCTGGAATAGTAAATTCATGATTTAGTATTGCCTTAAGATACCTTCAAATACAATACGTGACGGTGCATAATTTTCTATTTTTCTTTGCAATTCGAAATGTGGCATAAACCTCCCAAAAGCCCGGCAAACTTCCCCCCAAATGAAAAAAATAACAGGATAAGGGTCAAATGGGCCCTCAAACTTGTTAATTAGAGAGGGAACATGCTAATACCTGTTGAAAGTCCAGCTGCCATGCAAACTTGCCAATGAGGTTCAAATACTGGGAATGCAGCAAGCCAACCAGCCGTGGACTTTTGCTTTGAGCCCACATTGCCCCATCCATAAATGGGGCGAGTGCTATACTCCCAGCGAGCAGTTTTCACGGTTTTTGCATAATCCGTCCTGTCAAGCTAAGTCATGTCAAACAATCAGAATATCATTTATCAAACAATTTCAATGAAACCCCAAAATAACCATCTTCTCCACATGCACACGAAGAGCAGTTTACATAACAGTGTAACACTGTTTACTGAAACAACTGTGGGGTTAGAAAGCAACTCTTTTATGAAAGAAAGCACCCAAAAAAAAAAAAAAAAAAAAAAAAAAAAAACAGTCTTTGTCTCTTTGATACCCATTAAAAGATTCAAGTATACAATAACATGTTCTTCACAAAAAATGATACTAAGAATAATAGTTGTTATCATTATTTTAAATATAAATAAAAGGCCCAAAGTAATAAATACATGGATGCATAGAAATGAAGACCCAAGTAGGGAAAGAAGGAAATATGAAACAAGATTCTCAACATCACTGGGATAATATGCAGTAGAGATGGGCTAGAACTCATTGGCAGATATATGCTTCAGGGTGGGGCCATTTGCCCGCACTTTAAACAGTATTATTGTGCAGTATAAGAAAATATAATCCTGTTCATACTCAATAAATAAATGGACCCCACTCATAAGATAAAATTACCTCCAAAATTCTAAAATTATAGAGAATTTATGATAGCCTGGAAAAGTAACATTGCTAATCCCTACATCTGTCACAATTTATGAGGAGAAACTATAAACTGTAACTTTGTAAAGCAAAAGGGGAATACCTTCCATCATCACGAATAAATCCTTGATGCCAAAGTGGTGTCACTTGAAAACCCTCCAAAACACGGCTATTGAACTCCTGTAGAAGTCCCTTATTTAAGATACACTCAAGGTATATGTTTTATTGTAACAAAAATATAACCACATATTTGTTAAACAAAGAAAATATCATTACTGAAACAACCAGTAGCTTCCATGATATGAAGTATGTATTCCTCTAACTATATGGTAATGCATCTTCAAGCTGACTACTCATAATAACACTAATAATATTAATAATCAACCATGTGGTTTGGATAAAATATTATCTTTTGCTTCTATTCTGTTTCTTAGAAAGAGATAATATGTAATGGAGGGACCAACAGCTTATTAATCACTTTCATAGTTTCACCATTTACCAAGGAGAGGAATTTGATGCTGGGTCATAAAAGATAGGCATGACCGCGGTTGGAACCGTTGGTTCTAACCGGATTTATTTAAAAAAAAAAAAAAAAATAATAATAATAATAATAATAATAAACTGTAATTTTTAATTTTTTCCAGTTTGGAACCGGAACCGCCGTGATACAAGTGTTGCTACACTTGTATCCATTTAATAGGCCAGAAGAAGCACTGCATAAAAACGCTTCATTTGGGGAGAAGAAGCACTCCAGAAAAGCTTCGTTTTTATTCCTAAGTTTATAAGCCTGTGACGCGATCCTAGATATCCTGGCCTATAACACGCCGGTTCCAGTTCCGGTTCCTTTTCATCTCGAACATTAACCGGAACCAACATGTTGGTTCTGGTTAGGAACCGGAACTAGAACCGTACGGACGGTTCGGATCCAGTTCCGGTTCAACAGTGCACGGTTCGGTTCGAACCGAACCGTGGTCATGCCTAATAAAAGAGCCAAATGGAGATAACGTTCTCTCATAACAAGCTAGAGCATGTTGCTTTGTTCAAACTCAACCATTTCATGGATACTAACTAAGTAACTATCAACCCACTTAATGTAGACATATCTGGCATGAATGCATTGTCATGTCGGACACTGTTTACACAATTGCAAAACATCAGACAAATACAATAATCTTCTTTTAGCTTTTGGAACCAGAAAATGTGTTAGAAATTGATGTTTCATAACAAAGTTAAGACTTCAGAGTTGATTGTTCTTTACAAATCCACATCAGGCTGATAATGTATGAACCAAGTAAAATGCAATCACCTGAGGAGGAACTTCCTTATTTGGAGGCCTGGCAGCTGTTTGGGCAATAAAAGTATTTCCAAGTGACAGTTCATGCCTTTCTGTTCACAAAGAAATTCATTCTAATCATTCAGTGGACAACCTTTAGCTCCTTAAGAAATGATAAAGATCCTTAATGGTCAGCAATATAAAATACAACAAATAAAAGAAACGTTCCAATCTATACTGCATGAGAAAAACTCGATTCCTTTTTAGAATAAAAAATGCAAGAGTCTAGACAGATCAAAATTCCAAACTACATTGGATTACAGAAACAGCAATTCCTTTTAATAAGACAAATTTTAGTGGATCAAAAAGTAGGATGCAAAATCTGCAGAAGAAGAGTGTGGAAGAACAGGAATCAGAAATAAAGAGCATAGAAAGCCAGCACGGCCATGTTTTGACAAGAATTCAAGAGGAAACTATGACATAGTGACATACAACAAGAAAGTTACTGATAAGACTTTTTCTAAAAAATGGACAGAACATATAAGGAAAGATGCCAGAGAATCTTACAAAACCTAAGAGATGTAAGGGAATCACATTCCCTTCAAAATCCAATGTGGAGGGAATGTTATATTCCCTTGGATAAACAAGATAACTTGAACCAAACATGGGAATGTGACATTCCAAATGTCACATTCCCTTGGTTATGTTATATAACTTGAACCAAACAACCCCTAAAGGGATGAAGGATATCATCAAAATTTTCAAATGACTACTTGACCACTAGCAGCATCACAGAGAACTAGTCTGTTAAAAAGTAAAAGAAGAACATACCACCCCAAAAGTTCTTAGACTCTGGAGTATATTGGCAAATATACTTGTCATCCGCACCAAGAATTTGAGCTCCAACTCCTGTAAAACGACGCCCGTACTGCACCTCCTCTATTCCACTCAATGGCTTAGTGAATGCAGGATTCTCAACAGAATACATATAACAGAAACTCTGTCTACATTCTGGAATTGAAACCTTAAAGAACCATCCCTCGAAAAACTGTCTACGAGTCCCATCAAAATGGTATCTGAATGAACCGACAAATAGCAAACATGAGAAAAAAGAAAATCCCAAAGGGGAAAATTACCACTATTCAATCAATTACGAAGCTATTTTGCACTCTACACAAAAGAGCTAAACATTGACACTATAAACTTCCAGTATAGAAAACTGCTCCAATGTATGCAGCTTACTCCCAATATCTTCCAACATCTTATCATTTTATCTAGTTCCAAAGTAGGAATTCACATATTTTTCTTGCCAACCAACATGGATGAGAACCAAAGACTACATTTCAGTTTGTTGATACACTATTAGAATTACAAGATATACTTTTTTAAAAATTTATCCGACAAAATTCACACTAAAACAAGCTACTTCCAATCCCACTACGAAAGACCTCAGCTTGTCTACTACTAATACCTAACTAAGTAATTATGGAGTAGTATAATATGAAAAATATTGAGTAACATAACAGGAGAAATGAATCATTTTTCTATAAAGATATTAATACGTGTCTACTAAAATCATTTGTCCAAAGTGAAAAATGAAGAATTGTTCTCTATTTTATTTTTTTCTATAAAATATTAATACGTCTCGAGTTTATTTGTGGAAATGAGCATAGATTGTATATAAATTACCCGCTGTGAGGAGTTCGAAGAGGGCGATTGGAAGGGGTGGGGGTATAAACGGGTTTAATAGCCTCTTTAATCTCCGGCGCGGGGTTTTCGACGGCGGAATCGGGCGCCGATACTGCTTTCACTCTGAACGCCGGCGACTTCTTTCCGACGCGCAGGTGCTTCCGCGGAGAGAATCTCGCAGTGTAAGATTGGGTTGGTGGAGAAACGGCAGAAGAACATGCAAGGAGGGTTTCCATGGATTCGCAACAGCAGCGTCTTCTGACGTCAGCAGAAACAGGTGGCGGAGAGACAGAACGCAGAGGGCGCGGTGGCGCTTTGACAGTGTATTTGGGCGTCCAAGTTTATTATATTTGGTAAATATGTCAATGATATTTCAGAGAAAAATATATTTGATTTAATAATTAGGTCAATTATTTTGATAAAGAATGTATTCAAGGTAAATATAATTAAGTAATTAATATTCAAGGTAAATACTTATCAGTGTAAACAACAATTTTATCTCCTCTTATAAGTTAGGGTCTGTTTGTAAAGTAGAAAAATGACTTTTGGAAAATGAGTCATTTTCTAAAAATTAGTGTTTGGTTGTTGTATTTGAAAAACTATTTTGGTGTATTTAGTTTATTTTCTGGAAAATAAGTAGAATTGTATAATTAAATTTTTTAATTATTTTATTTAGAATATAAAAATGTTTTTTATATGTTTTAAACCCAAAAAAAAAAAAAAAAAAAAAAAAAAAAAAAAAAACAGGCTGAATGTGGCGGAAAATGACTTTCGCTAAATTTTGGCGGAAGTCATTTTTTGCCAAAATGAGCACATTTTCTCCCGTCAACGAAAAATATTTTCTATTGACTGAATTTTTCAAGTGTAGCCAAACACTAAAAACCCAAAAAATGATTTTCAGATTTTCTGGGTTTCCAAACACAACCTTAATTAGATTAGATAACTCACATTATGTTGGGTTATAACATATATTGTTAGTAAATATTGATTATACCCAATAATTAACCAATAGTTATCTAGTACAAATGTACAATAAGACATTGATGTTATTCAATACTTTAGAAGTTTTATTATCTTATTACATGTTTTTTCCTGGATTGTGGTTGAGTGAGATTGACTCATCCATCTTTAACCAAATGTCAATGATTCGACCATAGACTTTGGGTAGCGAACAACCTTAGGCGTTTCTTTGGAAGGAATGAATTATGGGAAAAATGAATTGTAATTAGTGGTAAAATAGTGTGGAATAAAGTAAGAATTCAAATTAAATTGTTTGGTATGGATGAATATAATTATTGGGAATGATAAAGGAAGAAGTGGTATAAAGACTAAAATATCTATGTGTAATAATAATCAATGGTAAGAAGTCATTTTCATCCCTTTTCCATTTCCTTTCCCCATTGAATTGCAATTCATATAGGGAGGGTATGAATTGCAATTCAACAAAATGAGGAATTACAATTCGGTGGAATTACAATTCCCTCCAACCAAACACTGTAATTCGGGTGGTCAACGAATTAAGTTGTAATTGAATTGCAACTACATCCAACCAAACAATCCATAAATCTCCATGCCAACTGTGCCTATAATTCAGCGAGGTTGGAAACTTTGGGCTACATCCAAAAAAATCTTATTACGTGTTTATTGGAGCAAAAAAATGACCTAATCAATACATGTAATGTTTTAAAAAATTATACATTCATAATTTCAAAACTATTATAAATATGCTATTGTCCAATGGGAATTTTACAATTAAAAAGATTTATTAATAGAATTAAAAAGAATTATTAATATTTATATATTTTTAACAAATTGTACAAATACACACATTTTTATATTTATTTTTATTTCGCATCATGTGTTTTTGTTTTCTTGTTTGCTACCCATTTGTAGAATGTGACACTTCATAAATGTAATTGTCGTGTGATACAAGTTTGTCTATATACAACAAATAATTGCACATTACTTGTAAGGCTTTGTGTATGAAACTTGCATGCTTTTAGCAATTAAGAATGGGGTATTGGATGGTTGGAACTTACTTAGAATGAGGACTTCTTCAAGAATTGGGATACATATGATGATGACAAGATATCATTAACCATACAGATTAAAAATAAATAAATAAATAAAATAACAAGACATCAATACATCACTAATCAAACCGATAAAAAGAAAAAATAACAAGAAATCATTCACACTATTAGGATAATAATAGAGGAAAAGCATAAGTGGATAAGATAAAGGACAATAATGAATTACCAACTATAAAGATTTTTTAGTTTTAGAGACAAGTTTTTTTGTATTTTCTTTGAAATTTCCTTTTTAATAATTTTAATATTTCATTCTCCATTATGTGTGTGTATAATTTGGTTCAAGTGGGAACATCATACTATAAAGTGAAAAGTGATTACAAATTATGACAATCAATTTAGAAGATTTAATGGTTGAAAATAAAGAGAAACACTTATAAAAAGCTTACGAGTGTATCTATTAAAATTTTACTTAATTTGAGTGTATTAGTTGATGACAAATAGTACTCTCAAGGGCTTTATTGCAAATATTCATTGCTACTTATTATGGGCCGCATAACTGGAAGAGAAATTGCATTATAAGTGAAAATCGTCGACAGCAGGATTCGAACCTGCGCAGGCAAAGCCCAACAGATTTCGAGTCTGTCTCCTTAACCACTCGGACATATCGACCTATTTGGTAATTTAGGGAATCTTTAATATTTAAAGACCAATAGTATTATTCTAATTCTAGTCTCCAAAAACATAACTAATTCCTATGTCCATAATGTTGACAAACAAAGTTCATCTCGTGTGCATGTGTAGTTCACCGACTATACACATTTGATATCTTATACATGTTCTGTTGATTTTGTGTCCAACCGCACGTTCATGTTGATGTAAATTACACCCCATGTGCATAAGTTGGCCGGGCATGTTACATGCACTACTTACTAAAATTAATAAATTGTTTTAATGAGAACATGCTCAGTGAAGATGATACACCTTGTTGCGGTTATTGTTATTATTATTATTATTGCTATTATTATTATTATTATTATTATTATTGTTATTGGTATTGTTATTGTTATTGTTTTTCTATATATATATATATATATATATATATATATATATATATATATATATATATATATATATATCTCGATGTATTTGAAGGATGGATTGAAGAGCATATTATTGAATTGTCCGATGACAATCTTTTCTTTATTTCCTTTTTTCTGGAGTTAGACTATCACTCGAAATATAGTCATTTGGAGTTGTGTTGCCACTCGAAGCACACCATGTCTCTTCTTTCCCATTTTTTGGAGTTTTTCTCTTGACTTGAAGAAGAGCATTTCCATACAACCTCAGAAGATTATTGTTGAAAAATAAAGAGAAAATGGTGGGTTAGTTTTTAAAATTTTACAAACTTAAAAGTTTATAGTAATTATAAAATTGACCTTATATTTTGTTTACTAAAACATTCAAGCATTGACGAACCATGATGGACGGCTGTAAATCCTGTAATTCATCCTTACTTTTTACAATGATGAGAACCATATTCTAATTTGAACTCTTCTCTATATATGGAGTGCACTTTGCAACACTATATTATACATTTGACCCGTTTGAAAGTGCAAAGTTTTAAATATATTTATAAAGAACCTTGTATGACTTCACTTTTTAGAGGAGGGGAATGAATGAGAGAAGTCTTAAATGGACATCCTATTCGACTTATAAATGCATTTAGAATGGAGTCCACTTTGTTTAAGCAATTATGTCAAGACTTATATTCAAAATATGGATTACAATGTACTAGGAATATGTCAGTTGTGGAGAAATAGAGATGTTTTTTGGGTGCTATACTGCTATCTACAGTCTGCTATGGGTGCTTCAAATAGAGATGTTGGAGAGCAATTTCAACATTCCGGTGAAACAATACGTAGAGCATTTCATGAAGTTTTGGAAGCAATTAAGTCAGACCTCTATTGAGATGAAAGAGATCTACAACAATATTGCTACTTCATTATGGGATGCTAGATTATTATTATGCTAATAGTTTTATTTCAAAATGTTAAATTTTAATATGTAAACAAATCTATTTAAATTTTATGAATATATTCTTTTTTAGTTTTTTTTTTTTTTTTTTACATTTATTAGCTTATCAAAAAACTAATTTTACCAAACACTTTTAAGCATAATCAGCTAGCTTAACCGCTCTTCAGTTTTTAGCTTCTAACTTATAACTTTTCAATTAGGTTTGTCAAACATAGCCTTAAAGTTTATTTTTAGAGTTTATGATTTAGTTTTTAATTTGGTTTAGTGCTTTGCTTTTTAGTTTAGTTTACGAGTTCACTTTTTATTGCTTAAGGTTTATGGGTTCATTAAATCATTTTCTCATTTGAACCCTTCTTCATATATAGAATGCCGTTTTGCAACACTATATTGTGCACTTTATCAACCTAAAAAGTGCACTACACTTAAAGTTTATCTTTTAGATTTTAGAGTTTATAGTTTAGTTTTTTAATTTAGTTTGGTGCTTTGCTTCACTTAAGGTTTAATATTTTATTGTTTAAGTTTAGGACTTAGGTTTTTTTTTTTTCCCAGATTTTAAGGAATTTATCTAGAAATGTACTTTATACTATTAAAAATTACACTATAGTTTTAAAAATTATACTTTTAAAATTAGAGAAAATCACTAAAATATCACCGCATTTGCTTAAACATTAAAATAAATAGAAAAGATGCAGTTTTCATCGTCATCCAAAAAACAATAATAAATAAATAGGAAATATATTTGTATTATGTTGCACGATTATCTTTTAATAGAGTTTTTTTTTTTTTTTTTTTGGCTTTTCTTGTCCCAACAGATTGAACCCCCAAGCCTAAGGGCCCCACACTCCGACCTGACAGAGCATGTGGGAGGAGTAAATCACGGTGACTCAATGGTTTAGTGGACAGGATCAAATGCTGGTGCGCACAAAGAATCTGCCCACCTTACTAGTTTTCTAGTTTTTGGACTTTAAGTGTTTTTTTTTTTTTTTTTTTTTTTTTTTTTTTTTTTGGCTTTTCTAGTTTTCTTTACTCACTATAATTGATTATAATTAAAGAGGACATTTGAAAAAATTTCCCATCTAGATAAATGGATGAAATCATAGTCCAAGGCTTCATTAATGGAAAAATGATTCATCATAGGAACAAAAGATATCTACCAAACAACTGTACTTATACCCTTTGATTTACGGGAAGTCTGCAATTGCTACCCAAAATGTGAACTTTGGGTGAAACCCGCTTTGTGACAATAGTAATACCTAAATAGCTCAATCCATAACCATCTAACAAAAAAAATTTACAGATAGTACCATACTACCAGCAAGAATGCAAATGTGTAACAAATTGCAGTCCAAGAAAGTAGAATATATAATTCTTCAGTTCACCAAAAAAAAAAAAAAAAAAAAAAGGGAAGACTCGCGATAAAAGTTCAGCCGAAAGAAATTACTTGGTTGAATATTCGCAATTGTGTCTTGGACTTGGAGTTGATGAACCTCATCAGCAATCTGTTCTACGCCTCTATACGCCGTGTGGATACACCTTTGCTTCTTTGCAAGTTAGTAGCCCGGCAAAGTAGAATGGACAAGTACTCATCAATGGCTGCCCCGATGAGAGGGGAAGATGGAGGAGAATCGTATTGTGAGAATCTCTATGGCACTATGATGGGAAGCTAGTACACTACGCAAGAAAAACCCGAATAGGATATGCTTTCACCAGTTTACTACGCATCCCTGCAACTAAAAACCGAGTAGTCACATAGTATTGTGTTATTTACTTTACGTGAGATATGGAATGAGTATCGGTGTAGTTCCCTCACCTTCGCACTTTTGATAGTAGCAGCGTACAACAGACCGTCATACGAAGAGGGAAGTTATAATGCTGGAATGGTTCTTTATGAAAGTGTAGGGTTGCAAAAATTCCGTGTCGAATTGCCAAACCATGATCCTCGAACAATTCTTTGGAATGCCCTCCATTTGGCTTTCGTCTTCCACTATTTGTTCAATAAATGCGGTTGCCTGAAACAAAAATCATTATCGTTTGTTAAATAGCAAATAGAAGTTAAGCACACGCAACGACAAGGGTAATTGCGTAATTGGGAGATGCAGAGCATCTCAACTGGGCATGCCATGAAATACCAACGATAAACTTGAATGTTGTAAATTGGGAGGAATAGAGGATATGTTGTAAATCGTTTTCCTAGCCCTCTCCTCACGCGTCGTCCATCAGCGAATATATGAAGCTCAGAAAAGAAGAGATCCCGAAATCCAGTGAAATGAAGACTTGGAACAAATCTCCGAGAAACAACGAGTTTTGGCTGGGGAGAATCTCTGAATCGTCGTCTTAGAAGCTCCAGGAGATACGCAGGAGCTGTGGAGTCGTGGTGGAGAGCTCGTTCTGCTTGGTCAGTGTTTGGAAAGCACAAGTCTCAAATCAAATTCTTGGTGCTCATAATCCATCCAGATTCTCTCTTGTGAGGCGGATCTAGGCGCAGCCTTCTGATGAATTTGTTTATCATTTTCATTCCTTCTTCATTCTCACTAGCGCCTGGAGCACTTGAGAGGGCAGTTCATTCTCCCCTCTTCTCATTTTCCAAGGATGAGTTTAAATTTTAATTAAATAAAATAGTTTGCAGTGAGTTTAAAATTTAATTAAACAAAATAATTAAAATGTTTAATTATACAATTCAAAGTCATTTTCTAGAAAATGAACCAAACACACAAAGACAATTTTCTGTTGGGCAGCCAAACACCGGAAAGGAAAATGTTTTCTGGAAAATGACTCATTTTCCTGCTTTCCAAACGGACCCTTAGTTGCATGTGTTACTTTTTTTTTTTTTTGGTCAGACCACGAGGTGTCCTGAGAAAGCCCTAACTGTAGGAGGCACCTTTAAGCCGCAAATTATGTCGTGCAACCGTGTGCACCATGCATGGTGCAACCAGTTGCAAAACAATGTCGTTTTGATAAAAATGAAGCTGTCCGACTTTAAAAAAAAAACCATTGTCGATTGCCATTAACTATGCATAATTTGAACTATATATCCAGAATTAATGAACTATATATACAAAATTAATGAACTATATATACAAATTAATGAACTATATATCCAGAATTAGTGAACTATATATACACACCGGTTACTAGTACTATGTGTTGGCTTATGGCAGTTCGCTGCGTCTGTGTATTCAGAATGAATAAACTATATATTCAGAATTAATGAACTATAAATTCAGAATTAGTGAACTATATATCCATACTTAATGAACTATATATCCCGAATTAGTGAACTATATATCCAGAATTAGTGAACTATATATCCACATCTAGAATTAATGAACTACATATCCATAATTAATGAACTATATATCCAAAATTAGTGAACTATATATCCACACCGGTTACTAGTAGTGTGTATTCAGAATGAATGAACTATATATTCATATTGGTGGAGTTTAAAAAAAAAAAAAAAAAAAAAAAAAAACATGATTGGTGGAGTTAAACGGTGCCACTAACGGCACCATTACTCCACCAAAGTGAAACGGCGTCGTTCGCAACCATGTGCACCATGCATGATGGTGCACGGTTGCACAGCATAACGATTGCCTTTAAGCCCTACCATACCCGTTCACACCGGGCCAGCCCAATTAAAGAACAAAATGCTGGTCAAATTGGTTTTTCCATACAAGAAGGGATTCGAACCCCGACCTCTCTTAAGGGACGAGAGTACACAGCCACTCACGTCAACCAAGCTGGTTACTTAGTTGCATGTGTTGCTTAGTTCTATATCTAAACCTAGGTATTTCCAAACCGAGCTTTCAGGGCTTCAACAAGGTCAATGTTGGTATTTCAAAAACAATATTCTATATGAAAAACACTGCAGAAAATATTAGCTAACACGGCTAAATGTCATTCTTAACACTCTAGACATAACCACCATGAGGAAGTACGAGATAAAAGGGGGGGGGAAGAGAACTTACTTGGAAACCGTCTTTCACAGTATCAATCTGTCTAATAGGTTCGAGTGTAGGTCTATGCCACCGCTTAGGATCCCAAAGAATAGTACTATTAAAGGCAAATCCTGACATTTCTGCTTGGAATCTCCGTAATCGCTTCTTCCTATCATTTGTGTGCCACCCTAAGACCTGCGAACCTTTGCAGATAGGACCTTCCAAGATAACATGCCTGTTATTTTCCGCCATTCTTGGCATTGCCCATGTCCCAAATCGCCTGCAAACAAGAACTTTAATAAAAAAGTTTGCACATAGAATCAACACATTTTACCTTGTACCATTGTTTGTCAGAATCAGCAAATATCTAATCTAGAATGCAGAGCAATTGAAGAGCAAAATTTTCCCGGGCAGAAACAAATCCTTAATTTTAAAAATTATTTTGCAAAGACATGAGTTGTAGAAATGCTTTTTGCTATATGATTGATTTGGCATTTTGGCCTCTGTTTTCATAATTTGACCAAGGGTCCATTTGGAAGAGCAGGGGTGGTGGATTAGTCTTCTTAAGTTAGCCAAAAACTAGTAAAATTCTCCTGTTTTAAACTTTCATGTCAGAATTCGGTTAGGTGACCCAAATACCCACGACCTGGCATATAACAATCCTAGCTATCAGTCCTCACTACGGTTTCTTTAATTTGGTGGAGCTATAGTATTTATCGTAAGATGACCTATTACCCCAAGAAAGCCACTGGAGATTTAAGGTTGCTCCATACCCAAACCCAAACCCAAGGCCAAGGATCGATCCCTTGACGTTTGATTAAGGATGAATGAGTCCCTTCCACTCAATCACACCCCCTAGGCAATGTTGCAGAAGGTGCTAGACGCTAGTCAGGCACCCGGGGCCGCCTAGTCACCTCCTATGCGGTCGAGTAATTCAAGTATATCATCTCACTCAGGATTGTGAGTTGTTAAACTATTATAATCTCACAAACTAGTCAACTACATATGTTAGAAGGTTAGTTGAGTACATGGTTGGAGGAATATAAAAGAGGAGCAACCGAGCAAGCAAAAAATATCACTCGGCCGAGTTGGGCGCCGACTCAGCCTAGTTGGGTGCCAACTAGGCGGAGTTAGGTGCCTAACTCAACGCCTAGGGCGCCTAGTCGGCCAACCAACTAAAAGCCGCCTAGGGCTTAAATTGCCTCGGCCTAGTGGCGCCTAGGCTGATTTTTACAACACTGTCCCATGTTATATTTTTGTTTGTATTTATTCATTTCTTGAAGCAAAAAACAGCCACCATGTAAATAAATGCACAATTTTGTCAATTCAATTCCAGTCAAACTCTAGCAAGATAGAAGAAGATGAGCACTAAGACCAATATGTCCAAATAAGCAAGAACTGAACTAGTTCAGCAGTAAAAACAATCGTATGAGACAAACTCACATCACAGATAATTATTCCTTAAAATAGGGAAATGCGTACCTGATCTCTCTCATTTGCTCGAAGAGGTCAAGAGAATATGTCTTATCATCATCTGCAAAGTAAACAATCCCATCAAGATGGTGTGTCTCTATGTGGGAGAGTGCCACATTCCTCATGTGTACACTTCGGTCTTTTACTTCCGTTAAGTTCTTACTGCATACCAGATGCCTGTACATAACTCCAGTTCTCCTCAACGTATCAGCTGTTTCCGCAGATTGAGAGGTCATTTCCACAACTATCCACAACAAAGGAGGCGGGACCAATTTCAATGTATGTGCTAGACGATTCAGGTAATATGCTTGAAACGGACGAGGCTCTATTGGGGTCACAACGATTAAAAGTTTATGGAAGTCCATTGCCAGATCTTGGTCTATCGATTGGTTAAAATGGACATCACTGTCGATTCCACCTATCACCTTACTATTTTCTTCGTGTGATTCCACTGTAGAATTATCCACAGCCACTGGATTCTCGACTCTCGATGTCAAATTACTGATCCTGCCATCATCCATTTGGAGGTTTTCGAAAGAGAAAGCTTGATGCTTGGATACATGGTTCACGGACAAATTCAGAGAAAGAAACGGGGTAAAGCCAATAAAGACCCCAACAACGAAGCATAAGAAGTAATGCAGAAGAGATCTCCTCCAAATTTGTCCCCTTAACTTTGACCTTTCCAAGGGCCTCGAAGATCTATGCGAGAGAAGACCAAGCACGAAATTCTGGGCTTTGTACAATGCATAATCCAACGAACCAATCGAAGATGGCAACAGCGCACTAGGGGGTGCGTGATTTTGATTACTCAACGATGACTTGGACAACGGAGAAGAAGCAACCGTGCATGCTTCCCCGTTCATAGGACTTCCCGGCCTAGGCACAGGGGACAATGTTCTTCTAATTGAAGCCATCACAACAAATCACTTGGCAACGTAATTAACCAATAAACTTTCTTTCAATAAGTATCTAATAGCAGTTTTACCACCAAAATGGAGTTCAAAACGATCACTTCCACTCCCTTTCTACTAAATCCCCTTAAGCAAAACTCCTCAAAGCATACCAAAATCACATTAGGCAAGAGGAAAGGATATCCTCAACCAAAGGCAACTCAGCCTATGCTCAAATTGATGCAAATTATGCAGCCAATTCCAAGCAACACTATTTCTGTCTTCTACTCGAACTAGCAAACAAATGCTCTTTCAAGTACCCATCACACTTGAATAGACTCTCATGTAATTTACCAAGATCACTGGCTCCACCTCAATAGATATTCAAAAACACAAAAAAAAATTTCTAATAATTAAACTCTTACAGATACATCTCCAATCATAAGCACCCACAGACCCTGGCCAAGAAATATCTTTTTCTTCCAATCTCGTGTAACGATAACTAGGAATCAAGCACTTGATCTACACCCAAAAAGCTCAAAATATCTTGCAAAACAAACAAAAAAATCAAAACTTTTTCGGAAAGAACAGCTCACAGCAACTAAATAAATCTCAAGACCAAGAACCCATCAAAACCCAATAGCCTTGGAAGCGAATATGAAATACCCAAAGCTTTTGCCAGTTCAAATATCCAGATTTGAAGTTCAAAGACAGCAAAACTTGAGCTGGAATTACCTTATTTGGTGCAATGAGAAATGGGTCCTGGATCCTTTGCCCCAAATCCCTTTGAACGGCGAAGGGAATACCCAAAGCTCTGGCAATTATGCTCTTCTTCACGTGCCTCCCTTCAGCAATTATAGAAGTAAAATCAGTGCTGGGTTGACGGAAAAAGATCTGTAAGGCAGCTTTTAAGCCAAAAATGTTTCTTTTTTTTTATTTTTTACCTTTTTTTTCTTGGAGTTGAATCTGTAGAGAATACACTGAATGAGACTTATGAGAGTCAATAACGTGAGGAAGAATTTACTTTTTCTATAACTGTAGCTAAAGAGATTTCGAATTCGAGTTCTGAAAATATAACTGTGAAATTTGAAAAAATAAATAAATTAAATGAGGAAAGAGGGACAGAAAATAGTGTGATAAGGAATGGAAAAATTAAAAATATTTATGGGGCATAAACAAGATGAAATTCTATTGAGAGAAAGAAAAATTATTTGAAAAAGTTTTTAAGAAAATGATTTTTTTTTGGGCAAAACATAGTACTCCGTAGTAGGTATTTTATATAGAATGTCTGCATTGAATTAGGTGTTACGGATTATTATATTGAATTCAATTTTTACTAAATTAGTTACAATTAGATGGCATTTTTTTTTTTTTGAATGTCAATTAGATGGCATTTGGTATCATATTATTACGATAAAACTAATTCAGATTCAGTTCTAGTCGCGCCGATAAATTTGACTTTTATTCAAATGAAAGTTTATTTTATAAGTTTTTAACTTGACGCATTCGTATAATAGTCGATTTTTCTATTTGCAATTGCATTCTCAAATTGTTGAGTTAAATGTTTAAATATTTTTAAAATGTTACCACCCCATGTGAGATACCATACAACAAATCTACAATATTTTGATGTTTATATGTTAATTTTCGGAATGCGACATGTACACTGTGTTATTAAAATTGCCTTCTATAAAACGTTGTATATAATAGGACGTAATAAATACGGAGTAGATTGACTTCTGATTCGGTCCATCAAACATTGAGGCAATCCTATTTTTGCCCCAAATTTTATACGGAGTAATTAATTCTAATTTTAGTCATTTGAATACTTTTTTTTTTTTTTTTTGCATTAGGTTTTTATCATTCAAAAATTAGATTTAATATTTGTTTTGTTCTATATATTAGATTTCTAGCATACGTCAAACTAATCATAAGTTCTAAAACCATTACTCAAGAGTTGGTAATCAGCGGTTAGCGGTAGCGGATTGTATTAGCGATTAACAAATAGCGAATTGTGTTAGCGGGTTTAACCAGCGGTTTGTAAAAATATATTTGATAAAATTAACTGTTTAGATTAGCAGTTAACAGGTAAAATGACCAAAAGAGGTATAATAATAATAATAATAATAATAATAATAATAATAACAACAACAACAACAACAACAACAACAACAACAACAACAACAACGTAGTAGTAATAATAATAATAATAATAATAATAATAATAATAATAATAATAATAATAATAATAATAATAATAATAATAATAATAAATAAATAAATAAATAAATAAATAAATAAATTTTTTAAAAAAAACAAACAAAGAAACAAATTGATGTGAGATCAAATGATCCCACATCGAATTATTAACTAAAAGGAGCAATGTCCCCTTATTTAATCCAGCCCATCCGATTCCCACATCAGATGAACAGGAAAAAAACAAGCCTCAGGCTTCTTTATTTAGAAGCCTTGGCTTCTATAAATGAAACAAGATTAAAAAAAAAGAAAAAAAAAAGAATAAAGGGCGTTTTGGACAATGTCCAAAATGCCAATATGAAACGCTGCTAATAGCAGCATTTCAGATTTTGGCAGTTTGGAGCAAATTTGTTGCTCTAAACCGTCATTTATCAAACAAGGTTTTCAGCATTTTGACATGTTTAAAACGCTGAAAACGGCAGATCCGTCAAAATTTTGGCAGATCCGTCAATAACCAAACAAGGCCGAAGTAAATTGTGAGTCGTCTCGTTAATCCCTAGGTTTCCGCCCCTTGCATGTAGTCATGTACACTATGCGTACAAGGGGTCTTCATCATTTCTGATCGGTCAATGTCTCTTAATGACCCTTCATGTTCATAGTCGGATTTGAACCCCAAATTACCGCTGAAGTTACCACTATACCAAAAGTTATAGGTAATAGCGAATGCGAAACTTTATTTTCTTATATTAGTGTAGCAGTCAATACAACGTTCCAATGATTTTTGGTCCTTCTGATTATTTTTTTCTTGTGAAACCCTATTTTAGGTAATGGTATTTTCGCCTCTTCAAATTTTTATTTTTATTTTATTTTCTGGCTAGTTCTTTTCCTGATTTTCTTCTTTAGTTGTGGATTGCACCTCCTTCACTCGGCTCTTTTCTTCATCTCCTTCACACGCTGTAATCTCTGGCGTATTGAAATTATGGTCTGGAATCTTTTCAGGTTTTGACCAATGAGGATAGAGGTTGTGATCCTCGATCACCTGCTGGCTCTGTTGTATATGGAACGTCGGAGAAATGTCGGCCATGTTAGCAAACGCTAATAGGGATGGCTCATTGGAGGAAGTGACCATGTTCGTGAAGGTTGTAGTTATTGTAATTGCAAAATTCCGTGTTGAGCGAGTCACATCGAGAGCACTTCAATGCCGAGAAGTTGTGATGCTAGTTCGATTATAGCTAAAATATTTTAAGACAAAAAAAAAAAAAAAAAAAAAAAAAAAAAAAAAAAACAAACAAACAAACAAAGAAGGGATACGGAGCCATGTGAAGGAGATTACGACAAGAACCGGATGAAGGAGATGAAGGCAAGAGTCAAGTGAAGGAGGTGCAATCCATGACTAAAGACAAAAATTGGGAAAAACAAATCTCCCGAACAATTGGAAAATAAAAGAATTGAAGAGACGAAAATGTCATTGCCTAAAATAAAGTTCACTGAAAAAGTCATCAGAATGACCAAAAGTATCCAAAATATAATAGTCTGAGATGTTAAATGACAAAAATGATAATCTAAGACTAAATTTGGAATTGCCCACCTCTACTAGAATTAACTCTAATTGAGAATTTATATTAAAAAGAATAAAGAAAAAAAAAAAAGAAGAAAAAGGTCATTATTAAGGTCTCATTAGAATTTAGAAACCTCAAGTCACTAGAAATTAGACAAAATAAAAAATAAAAATTGCTACTAACAAAATAATTATCTTTATCCGAGACTTTGTGGTTTAATGGTACCCGAGTTGAACTTCCATTTGGAAGGTTGTGAGTTCGAGCCTCAGTGAAGGCGTTATTGGTTCTTTGTGTTTCAGTAGGTTGAGAAAGTATATGAACAGATACTACATTGTAATAGAGCCAGTAACATTCAAAAAAAATCTTTATCCAAATTTCAATAGTTTGGAGACTATTCTTGTAGTAGATTTAGTTTTAAACCCTTATCTTTGCTTTTATGCAAATTCAATCCATTACTTTTAATGGGTACACAATATTCTTTGGACTTAATTCCATTTTTATTACTTACATATAACAATTATTACTATGATTTTCACTATTTTAATGAAGATCCATATGATCCTTTACACAAAACTTCCTTGATTATATTCATTAAATATAACCATTTTAAAAATCATATTACTATATTATTCCCAAAATCATATTACTATATTATTCCCAAAATCATATTACTATAGTAAAATGATTGAAAAGTGACTGTTTCCATATTTTCGAGTTAAAGATTAAATATATCTAGCAAAAAAAATTGTAAACCTAATCCACAAATATATTATACTTGACCAACTAAAAGTGGAGTTAACTACATTCTTTCAAATTGCCTAACGAGACGTTTGATTGAAGGAAGGAAATTAGGATGGAAATAAAATGCAAGTTAATGGGAAAGAAATAGTGTAGGAATAAAGTGGAATTTGAATTCCAGTATTTGGTTTGCAGAAATAAAAATACTAGAAAATTCAATCCCATTATATTTTGTATAAATAAATGAGAATTGAAAGGAAAGTAGTATAAAATCCAAAATGCCATACTTATTATTATTATTATTATTATTATTATTATTATTATTATTATTATTATTATTATTATTATTATTATTATTATTATTATTATTATTATTATAAATGTTGTTATATTATAAACAAAACAATTAAAATTTAAAATGTTTAATTATACAATTCTGTTCATTTTCCAGAAATGAACCAAACACACCAAAATAATTTTCTATAATGCAATCAAATTGGAAATTGAAATGTTTTCTAAAAAATGACTCATTTTCTAGAAAAAAACATTAGTCATTTTCCTGATTTCCAAGCACACCATAACAGGGCGTTTGTTTGGTTGGAGTGAGGGAATTATGTGGGAAAGGAATTGTAATTTCATGGGAGATGAATTACTGGGAATAAAGTGGAAATTTAAATTCCAGTGTTTGGTTTACAGAAATAGAATTACTGGGAATTTCAATTCCAATATTTGGTATACATGGGAATTGAAAGGGAATAAGTAGTATAAAGTAAAAAATGTCCATTGTTGTTGCTAGACATTAATTCTAGGTTAAAAAAGGAAGGGGTAATTTTGACTCATCACTATCTTTTTTTCTTCTTAAAATCCCAGGAATTAAAATACCGGGGGGGGGGGGGGGAGGGGGGGGGGTGACATGGGATTTTAATTCCATGAAAATGAAGGAATTGCAATTCCTTCCAACCAAACTACGGAATTTAATGGTCTTTGGAATTAGGTGGGAATTATGTGGGAAGGGAATTTAAAATCCCTCCAACCAAACACCCTGTAAATTGTGCTAACCTAGTGTTAAATTTGAAAAAAAAAGTTCAGGATTTGTACTATGTATTCCAAATAATCAAAAATAATATTCTCATACTTTTGCAATTAATCATGTAAGCTAATAAATTGTATACAAGGCACAGAGTTTGCAATAAACTGCGAATCTCGCTTTAAATATGTCAACCATCTAAATGAGATTTGACAATAGGAGGTCACACGAGACTTAGCTTATTGATTCAGTAGATAATATATTTAAAAGAAAAGACGAAGATTCGAAACTCCGCAACATCAGTGCCCTTATGTGTACCAGCATTTAACCTTATCTGCTGAGCCACTAAGTTACCGTAATTTACATCCTCTCGCGTGCTTTGTCCGGCTAGGCTGTGGAAGGCCTTGGGGGTTGGGGATTTAACCTTTTGGGAAAAGAGATTTGGCAATAGCTCGACTTTGAACTAATAGGAATCAAGTGTGACTATTGCAAATTAGGGATTCATGGTACCTTAAAAAATGAAGCAACATGGTAAAAATAATGTTGATGTAGAGTTGATCTAAGGTTTCACCAGGCAGGATGCCCATATTTCATCTGCAGGAGGTGGTGGCTGGACCCAGTGCCCCGGGATCCGGCTTCCACCGGGCCTTATGTAAGAATCCCATGTTCGTCGAACCTCGATGAGTGTGCCCATATCGTGATTACTGCCATAATAGTAATGATAAAACTCCATTGGTAAATTCGACACAGAGTCATATGCACTGCTGCCTCCACCTCCATTGTTCCCATGTTCCTTCTCTGAGGAAGAGGTTGTTATTTTATCTTTGACATCATTGTTCCCATGTTCCTTCTCATCTTTAGCATCTTTAGAATCCGGCTTATAACTTTGAGTGGCTTTTCTCGACTCTTCAGCGTTTGCTATGGCGTCCTTTGCAGCACCTGTGCCGGCTGCAGCCATTGCTTGCCGTTCCTCTTCCTCAACTGCAGCTTTAACTCTTTCGAGGAACTTGTCATCCTCCTCTGGGAGAAACCGTCCTGGAATGGAAATGAAATAATAATTTAATATGCTCTCATCGGTGAAGACTGAAGTTAAAATGCCAAATACTAACTTTTAAGGGATCTCGTTCCATATGAACACCAAAGTTAAATTCCTTAGAGATGCCATAAAAGATGTTAAAACCTAGAGAGATAGTAACCCCTCCTTAACCCTAGATCACTAGAGCCCGTACCTTGTTTTTTTAACTTTTGAATCCTGATGGAGCGTAATTCCTGCAACTTCTCCACCATCAATGCCAGCTCAAGCTGAAAACGAAAATTCCCATGTCACTGACCAGATTTTTGAAGACAACAATTTGATGGTGTCATTGCCAACGACTTTATACTATCACAAAACGAGTTAGTTTATGGAAAAGGATATCTTCTGGATAACAGTCCTAAAGATATAATTGTTTCTGGCGAGTATTCCATTACCCCAAAAAAAAAAAACTCGTAAAAAGTTCACAAATTAGACACACTTTTTATATTAGGATTATGAAGAAAAGAACATATCTGCCAAACTCACCTCAGATTCTAATTTTCTTCTCTCCTCTTTTTCTTTTCGCTTTGCTATCTCCTTCATCTTTTCAACCTGCTCACAAGAAGGCCATATAGTAGAGCAACCACATCCAAATACTTGTAGGTAATAAAAACAAAACAAATGAAAGGTGTACATGCTAAAAGTTTAAGCCATAAAACCCATAACAATTACACATTTTATGTGATACTTATGTCACTCAAGAAATTTTCTGAGCTTTTTAATTTTTTTTTTTAAAAATTTTAATGGGTAGGAGAATCACCATACTAGTAATTCATAACACACATAGGGTAAAGAAAGTAAAAATATGCTTTAAAACAATGGCACAAGAAGAGAAAACAATGCAATTCTTGGATAAGAGGAATTCCCCTCTTGACTTTTAATCAATTTCTCCAATTCTGAAAACAAGATATTTTAGTTAAACAATGGAAGATATCCTAAGCAATGTTACTGAGAATTGTATTCTTCTAAGTGAAATATATCAAAAAGACTCCCTTATATAATCTCTTTTTGCTTGAAAAACACTATGGTATAGATGATTGGCTAGGTAACCATTGCGAAGAATAACAAAATAATACACTATCTGGAATTGATGCATTAATGAAGACATTATCATTCTATAGTTTTCTGCATTAACTAATCCATAAAAGTTAACTAGCCATGGCAATCAAGTTTGTCAAGGTATCATACCTTTCTGCAAAAACTTATACTTATTTTTACAGTCATTCTCACAAAATTACGCACAAATTTTGTATGCTCAGATGTCAACCAACTAACAATTCGAGTTTTCACAGGAAAATTCTTACCTTTTGATTAGCAACATCTTTTGCTATCTCTCTAGCCCTCCATTCATCAGCCTCTTTATCAGCTTGCTCGAATCGATCTCTCTCCTGGAAATCAACAGAGTTTTGAAAGTTCCAGTAAAAATGCAGTCACTTTGAAATGAACATAACTTGATTGAAACAAAACAAAAAGGTTTGTAGTGTTAGCACCATTGCCAGCTTCTCTGCAACACGTTTCCTCTTCCTTTTCCTCCAAAGTTTGTTCCTTTTGTACTTGTCCAGTTTATTAGATAATCTCTGAGCTGCGGATTTTTCTTCCCATGGACTCGACTCATCGGCAGCAATCCTAAACGGCTCAAGCTGAGCTCTCAACGTCGATATCAATGCATTCGCAGCTTCCAGAGAAAGCAATTCCTGGCATTTCAAATCAATATTATTAACGCATAGAAACCTGGAAAAGCTATCGCTCGTGGCCGAATTCTCCGAACCCTCAGAATTCCCCTTTACTACATTGTTCGCCCTAATTATCACCTCCAGCTCTGTTTTCCTGTTCAAAAATTAGGGAATAGAGAAATTTACTCATGAAAGAGTAGTTTCCTTTTTTTTATTTTTGAGAGAAATTTAAGATCCGAATTCTACTTACAAAGCTTCAGCGAGGTTGATAGTATCGCGTAACTCTTTGAGACGATCGTGCACATTTGCAGCGTTCCAGAAAGCGGCGGACGGTGGTGGGAACGGCGGCAAGGCGGGAGGTTGCGGTGGTGGCGCTGCGCCGGTATATGGAGATGGAGCTGCCGGATTCATCGACGTCGACCCTAGCCGCTCTCTTTCCGCCGGTAACCGATTCAGAATAATTTAAAACAGAGAGATAAATAATATAATAAAGTTTGAATATATTAGATATAATTGAAAGAAAAAATCAAAAGTCAGGATGGCCGAGTGGTCTAAGGCGCCAGACTCAAGTTCTGGTCTTCGTGAGAAGGCGTGGGTTCAAATCCCACTTCTGACATTCAGTGGTTTTCAACGCCTAACCCGCATCTTTATTTAAGAGTTTTGTTTGTATTTCTGTTTGTGGATCCAAAGGACCTTCTTTCATTTGCTTATTTTGAATTTAGAGCTTTTAAGCATATTGGAAATTTGGGGGAATTTAGTCTCCAAAATTATACATAATTTTCTTGTTCTCTAGATAAATTCGTAAAAAACAAAAAGAAAGACTTCATAATATAATTAATCATTAAGTGAAGATAAGGATAAATATACTCAAGTAGTATACATATAACAAATAGTAGACTTAATTAAGTCAATAGTAACATACGATCATCATATATATATATATATATATATATATATATATATATATATATATATATATATATATATATATATATATATATATATACAATTCTAATAAGAGCCAATAATGTTAGGCTCTTAACTGGAATAAAAAAAATGTCGGTACTACTTTGTTTCTTAAAATAATTGGTTCATAGTATTTTTTTTTTGAAAAGTGGTTCATAGTATTTTGAATTTAGTAGTTTTAATGATTTTTCTTATTTACCCTTTATTATATTATTTTCTTTCTTTAAATAATCTTAAATTCCGTTAGTATAAACTTTATTAACGGAATATTTCGTTAAATATTCCGTTAACTATTTATTACTCTTAACTTACTCATTAATTTCTATAAGAAAGGTCTTAGGTTCGAACCTCATTCCAATTAGAGTTAGCATAATTGTTAAGCATATACTACAAATATGTTAAAATGTATTAAAAATAAAATATAAAATTTAACCTAAACTTTGGTCAAATAATTAGCCCGACTAATTAAATACATAGCATTCAATGATTATAAATCATGAACTTTGATAATCATTTGATTTTCTTTCGTTAAAAAAATAATAAATTTAAGTTCAGTTTTCTTTTTTTCGTTTAATATAATTAATCTTCTTTTGATTATTGAGAACAAAACTTAATATTTCAATTATGCTTTTATCAATGCATGAAAACTTCTAAAGAAATTTAATTGTAAGGTAATTTTTACTATATTATTATAATAATATCTATTGTAACCTTATATTTTGAATTATTTATTATCATCATCTATTGACAGCAATTGTCATTGACAAACTCTCAAAACAATTTGTTTCAACAACGAATGGAAATTAAAAAAAAAAAAAAAAACAATGATTTCATTATTGTGGATGAAAAGTATGTACGCCACTTTATTCCATCGTTATGATGTGGAACTGTGTTCACCTTGTAATGTGGACACAGTTCTATGTTCATAATTATAAAGCAATATATTCATAATTTTTGAACTTCATATTCATAATTATTGAACTCTATATTCACAATTATGGAACTGTATGTTCATAATTACTGAAATATATGTTCATAATTATAAAGCTATATATTCATAATTTTTTAACTTCATATTCACAATTATTAAATCTCTATATTCATAATTACAGAACTATATGTTCATAATTATGTTCACAACTCTATGTTCATAATTATAGAACTATATATTCATAATTAAGAACAGTTTTGGAATCGTGTACACCTTTGTCCACCTTGCAAGGTGGACACGGTTTCACATCATAATTTTCCCACTTTATTGCTCTTATTACTTGAATTAAAAAATAAATTAGTACCTACAACAAAAAATAATACATCTGCATTTAATTAATTTCGAATTAGATGTCTCACAACACATGAAACATGTAGGGAAAAACTACCACTACCAAATATCAACATGTGTGACAGGATAATAGGGCTAGCACCCGACCCGGATCACAAATGGGCATTGACTCAGCATCACATGGGAACCCAACGGGCAGAACTCCAACGGTTAGGAGTTCTAACAGGTGTCACCTTTATTGTCTTTGAAGCCACCATTGATGCCACCTTTGATGAGAGAGAGTTAAAGCCTCAATGCCTCATTCATGACTCTTCATATTCTCTCCGTTAGCTCAGCTCCCTAATGATGACTCTTCATGTTGTTACCGTTAGGACCTAGCATAAATAGAACTTCCCTCAGCTGAGCAGAGGACACTGTATTTTCTATACTGAGACAAAAGCAATACAACTATCGTATTCTCTTATAGCATTATTATATTATTATTACCGGTAACGTTATTACCGTCATTGGTGCTTTCATTGAGAGCCTGAGTCCAATACTCAAGCAGGCTACAACACTACTCTTTTCCTCTTTCAACAGCAAGCCTGAAAGAATGGCGTCCCCTGCCCCGATCACGGTTTACCCCTCCCACGGTTCTCGCAACGTGAACAATGGCAATGCATCAGGTGACCTCCGGGACCAACTCACCAACAATCGCGGAGGGGACCTCCGAGAATAGCTCAACAACGGGAGGCCTGGGGACCTTCGAGACCAACTCAACAATGGAGGGGTAAACCAAGCCGTGAACGGGAGGCCCGGGGACCTTCGAGACCAACTCAACAATGGGGGGGGGGGGTGAACCAAGCCGTGAACCTCCAGGCGACCGCCGATATCATTCAGCAAGCAGTGACGGCGGCGCTAAATCAAGTGGCGGTGGGACTGCAAGGCCAAGTGCCCACGCCGCGGCCCCAGCAAATAGGGGTAGAGGCCCAAAGAAGTGGACCGGCCAGACGACAACTAGGCCCTTCCCAATCTGCGCCAGAACGATTGGGACAGAGGGCGCCCGTGCGGCAAAGATTAGGATCACGGGCCGAGGGGTCCTCTACCAGAGGCCCTCGCCAACACGAGAACAGACAAGCCAAGAGATCACCCACAAAGGAGGTGGGCGAGTCTCGGGAGCCGACCCCACGCCGACACGTTGATGAGTCGGTCCTACGTCGACACTTGGAGGAGCGACGCGTCGATGAGCCGGCTCTGCGTCGGCACTCGGCGGAGAAGCGACGCGCTGATGAGCGGGTCCCACACCGACACTTGGATGGACGGAACGTCGAGGAACCCGCTCCGCGTCGACACTCAGATAAACAGCACGTCGATGAACTAGCTCCACGCCGACACATGGAGGAGCGGCAGCCGGCCCCGCGTCGGCACCCTGACGAGTCGGCCCTGGTCGAGAGGCTGCAGAGAAGAATCGAGGAGTTAGCAAGAAGGGTGGAGGCACGGGAGCAGTCGCCGGAACCTGAGGTACGGATGGCAGCACCATTCTCCCCTAGCATCATGGACGTACCTTTGCCGAGGGACTTTAGGTTGCCCGCCATCAAGGAGTACACGGGGGCCACTGACCCACGTGTCCACATGACGAGGTACAAGACTGCTATGGTAATGATCGGGGCAGGGGACGCCATCATGTGCCGAGCGTTCTTGTCCACACTGGATGGAGCGGCCCAAGACTGGTTTAACACCATCCCAGATGGGTCGATCCAAAACTTTGGGGAGTGATCCAAGAGCTTCCTAACATACTTCTCCGGTAGCATACATCGCAAGAAACCCTTCTCTCACCTCTGTGTAGTGAAGCAAGATAGAGGCGAGAGCCTCAAAGACTTCCTGATCAAATGGAAAAAGGAAGTCAATAATGTCTACGACTTCGACTCCAAGGCGGCGATCCCGATATTTATCCATGCCTTAAGATCAGGGTATTTCCACAAGCAGCTGAACGCTCACCACCCCCGCTCTTACGAAGATCTGATGAGGACGGCTAGCCGCTATGCCGAAGCAGAGGACGTCGACAGGAAGAAGAAGGACGAAGAGGATGGTAGGAAAGATGGGAAGCCTGGGAAAGCTGGTCCGCCCAGCCAGGCACCACTCTCGAACCACCTGACCGCAGGGAAATGCCGAGACCACGAACGGCCTCGCCTGGTCCCCTTGCGTAATTTGACTCCTCTTACCCATCCCGTCAGTGTCATTCTGAAGCAAGCTGAGGAGATGAGAATGGTAGAATTCCCCGAGGAGTGCATGAAGGTCTCCCCAAAGGCAGACCAAACAAAGTACTGCAGGTTTCATAGGCATGCCGGACACGATACGGATGAGTGTCACGCTTTGAAGAGACAAATAGAAGACCTCACCCAGTAGGGCTACTTCCGACATTTCGTCAAGCGATCCAAGCAGCAGCAACAGCCGCAACACAATCCACCAAAATATGTCTGGAGGAATGAGGATGGCACCGAGCCGTCCACCTCAAACGCCAAAAAAAGAGACCACGACCAAATATCTGAGCAGAGTGATAGCGAGAAAGAAACCGAGGTGGCGCCCAGACGACAAAAGAAGCACACCATACACTTTATCTATGGTGGACCTGCAGGGGGCGACACGCCCGCGGAAAGAAAGAAGTGGAGCCGACGGCTATACGTGGGAGAAGTGGCGAGTCTTCCCAGAGAAAAGAAACAGAGACAGGAGGCCATCACCTTCTCTGAAGATGACCTCCCAGAGGGCCCGTTACCCCATCGTGACGCCCTGGTAATTGAGATGGACGTCAATGATGTCATTATCCGCCGCATCTTAGTCGACACGGGAAGCTCAGTCAATGTGATGTATTACGATGCCTTCACCAAGTTAGGGATACTTAGGAACCAGCTCAAAGAAGTACGTACCCCACTCTCTGGATTTACGGGTGATTCAGTGGAGACGGAGGTGTCAGTGGTCTTACCAGTGGAGATAGGCACGAGCCCTAACATTCGCAAACTTGACTTGGAATTCATCGTGGTAAGACTCACTTGCGCGCACAACACCATATTGGGGAGACCGGCATTAGAGAACCTCAAGGCCATAGTGTCGGTGGAACACTTGTGTATGAAGTTCCCCACTCCGAGCGAGATAGGGGTCGTCAGAGGAGACCAGCGAGCGGCCCGCAGTTGTTACGTTAAAGCATGCAAAAAGATTGGCAGAAATGATCTATAAGTCCACACCATCTGTAAGGATGATCGATCGGGTATGGAGCTAGGAACATTTGATTAAGTATTTTCCTTAATATTCTAGTAGTCGTTTGGAACTAGTGTTTGGAAATCACGGTCCGCCCGCTTTGCATTCTGAAATCTTTTGGAATAATATCTCGTGCTTGTGGTCCGCCCATGTTGTTTCAAAAAAAAAAAAAAAAAAAAAAAAAAAATGGCTGAGGGCGCGCCTGAGCCAAGGACGAGGCACACGCCTCGGCCTCCTGGTCGAGGCAGCGCCTCGGCCCAGTGGCCTCGGTCGCGCCTCGGCCACATGGCCTCGGTCGCCTCGGCCACATGGCCGAGGCGCACGCCTCGACCCCGAAAAAAAAAAAAAAAAAAAAAAAAAACGATCGGACGAGGCTACGCCTCGGCCGCGATCAGCCAAAGCGCACGCCTTGGCCACGATCGGTCGAGGCTATTCCTCGGCCACGATCGGTCGAGGCGACGCCTCGGCCACGATCGGTCGAGGCGACACCTCGGCCACGATTGGTCGAGGCGACGCCTCGGCCACGGTCGGTCGAGGTGACGCCTCGGCCACGATCGGTCGAGGCGACGCCTCGGCCACGATCGGTCGAGGCGACGCCTCGGCCATGGTCGGTCGAGGCGACGCCTCGGCCACGGTCGGTCGAGGCGACGCCTCGGCCACGGTCAGTCGAGGCGCATGCCTCGGTCACGATTGGTCGAGGCGACGCCTCGGCTACGATCAGTCGAGGGGTTGGCCGAGGCGCCCGCCTCGGCCAACGCCGAAGTCCGTCTTGGCAAAAAAAAAAAAAAAAAAAAAAAAACACGATCGCCTTGATCGGCCGAAGCGCACGCCTCGGCCACGATCGGTCGAGGCTACGCCTCGGCCACCTCAGCCGAGGCGCACGCCTCGGCCACGGTCGGTCGAGGCGACGCCTCGGCCACGGTCGGTCGAGACGACGCCTCGGCCACGGTCGGTCGAGGCGACGCCTCGGCCACGATCGGTCGAGGCGACGCCTCGGCCACGATCAGTCGAGGCGACGCCTCGGCCACGCTCGATTGAGGCGACGCCTCGGCCGGAGGCACGCACCTCAGCCTGCCTAAGCCGCAGCCCGTCTCGGCCACGATGCCTCGGCCGGAGGCACGCACCTCGGCCTGCCTAAGCCGCAACCCGTCTCGGCCAGCATAAAAAAAAATATTCATGTGTGATTTGGAAAATAAAATCACATACTCGGGATCAATCGGGATTCTGCACGATATCAAACAAATTCAGCTTTACTCCCAAGTCAACTCAAACACATCCGTTGCCTCTGGAGTAGGGGGGACTGGTGACAGGATAATAGGGCTGGCACCCGACCCGGATCACAAATGGGCATTGACTCAGCATCACATGGGAACCCAACGGGCAGAACTCCAACGGTTAGGAATTCCAACAGGTGTCACATTTATTGTCTTTGAAGCCACCATTGATACCACCTTTGATGAGAGAGAGTTAAAGCCTCAACGCCTCATTCATGACTCTTCATATTCTTGCCGTTAGCTCAGCTCCCTAATGATGACTCTTCATGTTGTTACCGTTAGGACCTAGCATAAATAGAACTTCCCTCAGCTGAGCAGAGGACACTGTATTTTCTATACTGAGACAAAAGCAATACAACTATCGTATTCTCTTATAGCATTATTATATTATTATTACCGGTAACGTTATTACCGTCAATGTGCTTGTAAGATAAAGAGTTCATAGCACAACTAAGATCTCAGTCATATACACAACAAGACAAATCAAAAACTTCATACACCATAATCTCATTGCATGATGAATCCTTCTATGATACTACCAATAATCCAATTGCACATGACACACTATCAATAACAAAAAAAAAAAAAAAAAAAAGACATGTACTGAAGATGAAAACAATAACAATGCTACCTAAAAGAGAAATAGAAAAATGTAAACCAAAAATAGTATTTATTTAGACTATCGCTTTTAGACTTAGTACTTAGATTACCGTTATTACAAAGTTGCAAATATTTAATTTTGTGACAGTTATATATAATCAATCTCTCATATATTATCTTGCATTTATATACTTTAAATTACCGATTTAAATAAACAAATTCAACATTTATTTACCTATGCATGGACATCTTCTATATAATAATGCATTGATATACTTTAAAATACTTATTTAAAAATAAGTATTGGGCATTATCTTATTCGCGCAAGGCGCGTAGAAAAACTAGTATATATATATATATATATATATATATATATATATATATATATATATATATATATATATATATGATGAAAAACACTGTCTTTCATAATATTTGGAAGTAAAAATTTAAAGAGAGAGAATTTGAGATTTTATCAGTAAAGGTTCCAAGTTTATGTTAATGAACATGAAATTAGTAGAGATAACTAAATGATAGAGAAGCAATGGAGTGACATGAGTTTCTATGCATGTGATAGACATAGGGCAATGATAGAAACAAAATTCGAAATAATATAATACACATATCATTTTATTATATATCTTTTTTTGTTTTCTTTTAATGAATTTTGTATATCAAAAAAAGTAGTTGAAGTAAACATACAATAGTCAAGATGGTTGAGTGGTCTAAAACATTAGACTCAAGTTATGATCCTCATAACAAAATACTTTTCCAAATTCAAAATTTTCCATTGAAAATAAAATTAACTAATTATTTCCCACCCCTCAAACTAGATGTAAAATTATATCTATAAATAGATAGTGCCCTGTTTGGTAAATAGTTAGCTTATCAGCCAGTTTTAGCTTATTTAATCACTATTAATTATTTGGTTAATTAGCTTTTTGTAGTTGCAAAATGCTAAAATTCAAAAAGCTGCTCAAAGCAACTTTTTCAATTAGCTTTTTGAGAAAAGAAATTATATCAAACAACTATCAGCTAACAGTTAATTTACCAAACATCTTTTTACAATCAGCTAATGTTATCAATTAGTTATACCCTCTAATTAACCCAATCGGCTAGCAGCTAACAGCCATTTACCAAGCATGACCAGTATCTTTATGAATTAATTTCACTTTTGGTTCTGCGATTTTTGAGGTCCTATCTTCTTTAATGCAAAACTTTACATTTTCTCAAATTTTGATGCCTAACTTTGTTTGTTTGTTTTTTTTTTTTTTTTTTTAATCAGTTTTGGTCCTTCTGCCAACTTGACAATAAAATGTTGCCAGGTTTTATATTTTTTGGGATAAAACCAAGTTCTGTTTCGAGATAGATTGGATATCCCTTGATGGGTTTGGATATCCATTCTCTTGGGTTGTCGGACTTCGGGTCTAGCGGGTTTTTCAGATTCTTCAGGTACTGCTCACCCATATATGCAAGCGTTAAACATAAAGCAACGATAGAGATATTGTGCAAAATGGACTTTTTTTTTTCTTTTAATGAATTTTATACATGAAAAATCAAAATAGTTAAAATAAATTATTAATTGTTAAGATGATTGAGTGGTCTAAGGCGCTAGATTCAAGTTTTGGTCTTCATGAGAAGGCGTGGGTTCAAACCCTACTTCTGACATTTATTCCTCTATCTATAAAAGCAAATAATTGAAATCAGTCTTTATTGCACATTGAATGAAAGCAAAATATTCTAAATTTGATTATATTGCTTTATTCATTGACTTTATTATTTTTATTTTTATCAAATTCAGTTTTAATCGGAAATTAAATTTAAAATAAATAAAAGGATCGGACTAAATATGTTAAAAAAAAAAAAAGAATTGTACGTGGAAGAATGTTGTGTTCATTATTGCAGCTAGGAAATTGTGGCAGAGGGTTGAATTTATTTTATTTGCAGCAAGAAATTGAATTGGGTTGCCAGTTGCCCATGATGATGGTGTTTATTTGCATGGTGAACTTACGTGGCGCGCACACACACACACATATATATATATATATATGCAAATGATGTTATTTACATGCATATATTGCATGTGCTCAGATCAAGTGAATATATTTTTTCCACTCCTTAATTAATTTTTGTTCAAATTCCTTTTAATTTGGTCGATCACTTCTGCTGTGCGACTATCTGTCACGTCTACCTTGTTTTGTACTGTCAACTCCACCGTCCTATTGTTTTAATGTAGATTCAAAACATGGTGTTAATTATGTATTATATAAGTATGAAAAGTATAATCATTTTGATTTATTTCTTTATGATCTTTACCAATTAGCATCACAACGAACGTGAAATTTATTGCACACATTCGAGTAGTAGTTGCAGCCTTGCGGGTTTCTTTCCCATCCACACCAAAAAAAAAAAAAAGGTAAAAAAAAGTAAAGTTATCTTTTTTTTTTTTTTTTTTTTTTTACTAATTATTAATTTAAAAAAAAATTATAAAGTTATCTTTTGATTCTACCATTTTTCCATGACGAAGTTTGTCTGATAGAGATGCTGATGTCTTTTGATCTTATTTTGAGTTGTTTATATATTTGTTTCAAATATTTTCTCAATCAATTATCACGACTATTTTATTTTTAAATAATTTTAATATTAAATTTAGATTAGCCAAAGGTTGTGTGATCGAACGGCATAGCTGTGGCCCTCAAATAAGAGGTTAATTTCACATTCGAACACCAGTGTGGGGGCATTGACTCTTTGTACTTCAGTAGGTTGATAAAGTATGTATGAACAGATATTACATTGTAATAGAGTCAATAACATTAAAAATTAGATTATTATAATCATGTTAATTAAAAAATGATGGTAATGCCAAAGACCTTGTGGTCAAACGGCATAACTACGACTCTCTCTAATGGGAGGTCACATAATTTTAGTGAGAGTATTGACTGATCTTTGTGATGTCACAGATTATATTCCTAGAGAACTCATTATTTGAGGGTGTATAATAGGTAATTAAGCCTCACTTTTTTTTTTTTTTTTTTTCAATAGTCCACAAATCACCAATAAAAAAAAAAAAGATATATTGGAGATTAGGGATAAAAGAAACCATGACAACTATGCAGAGAATTTAATTAATAAATCTTTATATTAAATCTGCATATAAAAGATGATGACAAAATATAATTGTGTATATTTTATATAAAATAAGATTTGCACGTAATTAAGATATCATGTCAAACAAGAAATTTATAGCCTAACAGCATAACTTGACCCTCTATCAATATATGACCAATAATATGGGATTATGAAATTCACAAGTAATTGAATTAAAAATAAAAAAGTCAAATATCTTATAGAGTTTAGTTTATCGGTGGCATTAAGTATGATGTTACATGTGTAATAAAAAGCATACCAACTGTCCAAATCCCATTTAATTTGTATACTAGTTCTTTTACGCGCTTTGCGCAAATAAAATAATGTTCAATGATTATTTTTAAATAAATATTTTAAAATATATCAATGCAATATTATATTAGAGATAACTAAATGATAGAGAAGCAATGGAGTGACATGAGTCTATGCAAGTGATAGACATTAGGCAATGATAGAAACAAAATTCGAAATAATCTAATACACATATCATTTTATTATATTTTTCTTTTGTTTTCTTTTAATGAATTTTGTATATCAAAAAAAGTAGTTGAAGTAAACATACAATAGTCAAGATGGTTGAGTGGTCTAAAGCGTTAGACTCAAGTTATGGTCCTCATAACAAAATACTTTTCCAAATTCAAATGTTTCCATTGAAAATGAAATTAACTAATTATTCCCCACCCCTCAAACTAGATGTAAAATTATTTCTATAAATAGATAGTGCCCTGTTTGGTAAATAGTTAGCCTATCAGTCATTTTTGACTTATTTGACCACTATTAATTGTTTGGTTAATTAGCTTTTTGTAGCTCCAAAATGTTAAAATTCAAAAAGCTGTTTAAAGCAACTTTTTCAATTAGCTTTTTGAGAAAAGAAATTATATCAAACAACTATCAGCTAGCAGCTAATTTACCAAACATCTTTCTACAATCAGCTAATGTTATCAATTAGTTATACCCTCTAATTAACCCAATCAGCTAGCAGCTAACAGCCATTTACCAAACATGACCAATATCTTTATGAATTAATTTCACTTTTGGTCTTGCGATTTTTGAGGTCTTATCTTTTTTAGTGCATAACTTTACATTTTTTCAATTTTGATGCCTAACTTTGTTTGTTTGTTTGTTTGTTTTAATCAGTTTTGGTCCTTCTGCCAACTTGACAATAAAATGTTGCCAAATGTTATATTTTTTGGGATAAAATCAAGTTCTGTTTCGAGATAGATCGGATATCCCTTGATGGGTTTGGATATCCATTCTCTTGGGTTGTTAGACTTCGGGTCGTCTAGCGGGTTTTTCATATTCTTCAGGTACTTCTCACACATATATGCAAGCGTTAAACATAAAGCAACGGTAGAGATATTGTGCAAAATAGACTTTTTTTATTAATGAATTTTGTACATGAAAAACCAAAATAGTTAAAATAAATTATTAATTGTCAAGATGGTCGAGTGATATCTAAGGCACCAGACTCAAGTTCTGGTTTTTGTGAGAAGGCATGTGTTCAAGTCTTACTTTTGACATTTATTCCTTTAAAAAACAAATAATTGAAATCAGTCCTCTTTATTGCACATTGAATGAAAGCAAAATATTCTAAATTTGATTATATTGCGTTATTCATTGACTTTATTATTTTTATTTTTATCAAATTCAGTTTTAATCCGAAATTAAATTTAAAATAAATAAAAGGATCGGACTAAATATGTTAAATAAATAAAAAAAAGAATTGTACGAGGAAGAATGTTGTGTTCATTATTGCAGCTAGGAAATTGTGGCAGAGGGTTGAATTTATTTTTGTTAGGAATATAGCGGAATAATGCGGAAGCGAAGAATCGAAAATTGAGAATTATAGAAGTTAATAATAGGGAAAATATAATAAATGACGAAATAATAAAATACTAAATTGGGAGAATATAGAAATATATATATTAATCTCAAAAGAGAGAATTGAAACAATAATATATATATTTGTCTACGTAAGGAAAGCTAAAGAATTAAGGATGGATGATGAATTGATAATTGATGTAAGAGGTGATTTACAAAGCAAAGAACTACTGCTATTTATACATTCACAAAAGAGAAACAAGCGCATGAAATAAAGGATGTACATGCGCATTAGTAGCTACGTGGGAAGACAATTGCGCATGCAAATGTTGAGTGGTCTTAATGGATTGATTTGAGCCACACAAAATTATTATCCTAACAATCTCCACCTTGGATCAAATTCACTATTGAATTAGTAATTGGAACAGTCGACTAAGCTCAAACACTATTTGAACTTAGCAACAGGAAGAACCTCAGAATAGCAGGATGGATCACCATCAGCTTCCTGTGTGACTGAAAGCGCATAAGCAACCATATTGGTTTCATCATCACTAGCATACCTAGCAGGTTTTTTAATTGTCCTCCTAGGACGATCCATAGCAATGGAATACTCTCGCTGTGGCTGGACGAGAGGTGCGATGCTAGTAGATGCATCATCTTTAGTAGTACCATCAGCAGTAGTAATACTATCAATAGGCCTGAATTCAAACTCCACCTTCTCACCAGTACTCTGCGTCTCACCTGTACTGGGAACTTTTCCAAAAGAAAGTAGTGCATTTTCGTCAAAAGTGATATCTCGACTCAGAATGATTTTCTGAGAATCAGGAGACCATAGACGATACCCTTTTGACTCAGAGGCATAACCAAGGAAAATGCATTTGACAGCTCTCGGGTTTAATTTACCCGTATTGGAATGAGCATAAGCAGGACATCCAAAAACTCTTAAGATAGAGTAATCAACAGGATTACCTGACCAAACTTCCTCTGGAATTTTGAAATCAAGGGATGAATGTGGAGATCTATTTACCAAATAGCAAGCAGTAGAAACGGCCTCGGCCCAAAAATCACGCCGTTTCCATAACCCAGCATTAGAGAGCATACAACGAGCTCTTTCCAATAGAGTCCTGTTCAAACGTTCGGCAACACCATTCTGCTGGGGTTTACCAGGCAAGGTCTTGTGCCTGGCAATTCCATTTTCCGCACAAAAGTCATTGAAATCTGACTCACAGAACTCCAAGCCATTGTCTGTCCTGAACTTCTTGACTTTTTTACCTGTCTGAGTCTCAACAAGTATTTTCCACGTCTTGAAAATAGAAAATGCTTGATTTTTATGTTTCAGGAAATAGACCCAGACTTTACGAGAAAAGTCATCAATAATAGACATAAAATATCTACAGCCTCCCATAGACTGGAATTTAGTCGGGCCCCATAAATCGGAATGTATATATTCCAATACATCTTTGGTACGGTGTGTAGCAGTAGAGAAACTAACCCTCTTTTGTTTCCCAAAAACACAATGCTCACAAAACTGTAATTTACCCGTACCTGAACCAACAAGGAAACCTTTCTTGCTCAGGAGATGCATGCCTTTCTCACTCATATGCCCCAGACGCATATGCCATAATTGAGTGAGATCCGCATCAGACATCGATGAGGATACCGCTACTGAACCTGTCACAGTACTGCCATGCAAGACATACAAGCTTCCAGAACGAGAAGCTTTCATGAGAATAAGAGAGCCTTTTATGACCTTCAAAACTCCACCTTCAGCTGTGTACTTGCACCCCAGAGATTCCAAGGTGCCCAATGATATCAGATTGCGTTTCAAATCAGGAATATACCGGACATTGGTAAGAGTCCTGACAACGTTATCATGAGTTTTAATCTGAACACTTCCAATTCCACTAACCTTGCATTGGGTATCATTACCCAGCAAGACAACACCACCATCAACCGGTTCCAGAGAAATGAACCAATCTTTGTGGGGACACATGTGGAATGTACAACCAGAGTCCAAAATCCACTCGGTTTCACTCCGTTTCTCACCGGAGCTAACAGATAACAACACATCACCATCTGAATCACTTTCAACAACACTAGCTTCAGCGGACTTCTTTTCTCTCTCTTGCTTGTTTTTCAGCTTAAAGCATTCAGTCACATCATGACCATGCTTCTTGCAGTACTTACAGGATTTGTTGGACTTATGTCCTTTGGACTTGGATCTAGAATTTTTATTGCTACTCCCTGATTCAAGTGAACGACCCCTTACAGTCAAGCCTTCACCTTTGTCCTCAGACTTAATTTCAAAGTCAAACTTTTCTTTGGACAATAGGTTTGACTTAACACTGTCGAAAGTAAGGGTATCACTACTATTACCATACAGCATAATTTCTTTGAAATGCGTGTATGATCTAGGGAGAGAGACAAGCAATAAAACAGCGCGATCCTCATCTTCAATTATAACATCAATATTTTCCAAGTCCAATAAAATAGAATTGAATTCATCCAAGTGAGATTTAATAGAAGTACCTTCCGTCATACGGATTGTGTACAGACGCTCCTTCAGGCGTAGCGTGTTTGCCAGAGTTTTGGCCATGTAAAGCGTATCCAACTTGGACCATAAATCTGACGCAGTCGTCTCACTTAACACCTCACGTAGAACCTCTTTAGACAGACACAAAAGAATGGTTGAACGTGCCTTGTCATCCAGATCTTCCCAATCTACATCTGTCATTGTAGCCGGTTTCTTCTTCTTCCCAGCTAGCGCTTTCTTCAAACCGTTCTGGGTTAGAACGGCTTCCATCTGAACCTTCCAGATAGAAAAGCTAATTTTCCCGTCGAACTTCTCGATATCGAACTTGGTAACAGTTGACATCTTTGAAAATAACTCTCAATTAAACTTGGCTCTGATACCACTTGTTAGGAATATAGCGGAATAATGCGGAAGCGAAGAATCGAAAATTGAGAATTATAGAAGTTAATAATAGGGAAAATATAATAAATGACGAAATAATAAAATACTAAATTGGGAGAATATAGAAATATATATATTAATCTCAAAAGAGAGAATTGAAACAATAATATATATATTTGTCTACGTAAGGAAAGCTAAAGAATTAAGGATGGATGATGAATTGATAATTGATGTAAGAGGTGATTTACAAAGCAAAGAACTACTGCTATTTATACATTCACAAAAGAGAAACAAGCGCATGAAATAAAGGATGTACATGCGCATTAGTAGCTACGTGGGAAGACAATTGCGCATGCAAATGTTGAGTGGTCTTAATGGATTGATTTGAGCCACACAAAATTATTATCCTAACAATTTTATTTGCAGCAAGAAATTGAATTGGGTTGCCAGTTGCACATGATGATGGTGTTTATTTGCATGGTGAACTAACGTGGCATATATATATATATATATATATATATATATATATATATATATATGGCCGGTTCTGAGTATGTCTAACATATGCAACCGCACAAGGACCCTAATATTTGGGGGGCCCGTATTTAATATATATATATATATATATATATATATATATATATATATATATATATATATATGTATGTATATATAGTATACAAGATTTCAGGTTGTGTAGGGAGATTGTGTCAATTTGTGATATATGTGTGTGTTCTAGGGAGATTGTGCAAATTTGTGATATGGTGAATTTGTGCCCAATTGACAGTTATTTTAAAAATCCCCTCCCAAAAAAGGTATGTGTGTGCGTGTGTTTTCTAATCTCTTGATTCCCTTTCCTACTTTTGGCGGTTCCCAATTCTTAAATCTCAATTGACAAGTACCATTGTTAATTAAGAATGACAATTCTCAATTTAAAATCTCAAATAACCGTTAGCATCTTCGACCCGGACCTTCTACTAATTAGCAATTACCATTATTTTTATTTTTTTATTCAATTTCCAAATCTCAATGAATAATGTGGTGATATTGATGGAAATGAATTGTATATTGAGTTAAAATTGTTTAGAGAGATTTTATCGAAAGAAAAGATATGGGCAGTGGGTATATTGAATTCATTGAGACAGATGAGTTGTTTTCCAAATGCTATTATTGCATATCGAATATTATTGACTATCTCAATTACTACAAGTATGTTGCAAGAGAGACTCCATGGAAGAGTTTGAATTTTCATTAAAAATGAGCTTTTGGAAGAAGTTGATATCGAAAGTTTGATAGATGATTTTGCGTCTAAATATGCACGACGCATGTCACTTTTTAAATAAAATTTTAGATGTATTTTTTATATAATATTTATACTTTGATACATCTTTTTGAACGATTATTGTTTATACATAAAAATTATTGGAAAAAAAAGAATCATAAATTAAGATATTGCACAGGACCTCAATTTTTATTGGAACGGCCCTATATATATATATATATATATATATATATATATATATATATATATATATATGTATGTATGTATGTATATGCAAATGTTGTTATTTACATGCATATATATTGCATGTGTTCAGATCAAGTGAATATATTTCCACTCCTTAATTAATTTTTGTTCAAATTCCTTTTAATTTGGTCGATCACTTCTGCTGTGCGACTATCTGTCACGTCTCGTTTTGTACTGTCTACTACACCGTCCTATTGTTTTAATGTAGATTTAAAACATTGTGTGAATTATGTACTCCGTATTATATAAGTATAAAGTATAATCATTCTGATTTATTTTTTTATGATCTTTACCAATTAGCATCACAACAAACGTGAGGTTTATTGTACACATTTGAATATAGTAGTTGCAGCCTTGCGAGTTCCTCCCACCATCCACACCAAAATAATAATAATAATAATAATAATAATAATAACTTTCCTCCTTTTTTTTTTTTTTTTTTTTTTTTTAAATTATTAATGTTTTTTAAAAATAAAATTAAAGTAAAGTTATCTTTTGATTCTACCATTTTTTCCATGACGAAGTTTGTCTGATAGAGATGATGCTGTCTTTTGATCTTATTTTGAGTTGTTTATATATTTGTTTCAAATATTTTCTCAATCAATTATCACGACTATTTTATTTTTAAATAATTTTAATATTAAATTTAGATTAGCCAAAGGTTGTGTGATCGAACGGCATAGCTGTGGCCCTCAAATAAGAGGTTAATTTCACATTCGAACACCAGTGTGGGGGTATTGACTCTTTGTACTTCAGTAGGTTGATAAAGTATGTATGAACAGATATTACATTGTAATAGAGTCAATAGCATAAAAAAATTAGATTATTATTATTATTATTATTATCATGTTAATTAAAGAATGATGGTAATGTCAAACACCTTATGGTCAAACGACATAACTATGACTCTCTCTAATGGAAGGTCACATGTTCGAATTTTAATGAGAATATTGACTCTTTGTGATGTCACAGGTTATATTCTAGAGAATTCATTATTTGAAGGTGTATTATTAAGCCTCATTTTTTTTTTAATAGTCCACAACTCACCAATAAATAAATAAAAAAATATATTGGAGATTAGCGATAAAAGAAACCATGACAACTATGCAGAGAATTTAATTAATAAATCTTTATATTAAATCTGCATATAAAAGATGATGACAAAATATAATTGTGTATATTTATATAAAATAAGATTTGCACGTAATTAAGATCTCATGTCAAACAAGAAATTCATAGCCTAACAGCATAACTTGACCAGCTATCGATATATGACCAATAATATGGGATTATGAAATTCACAAGTAATTGAATTAAAACTAAAAAGTCAAATATCTCAATAGTTTAGTTTATCGGTGGCATTAAGTATGATGTTACATGTGTGTTATAAAAAGCATACCAACTGTCCAAATCCCTTTTAATTTGTACTAATTACAACACACACATTGTGTGAATAGTCTGATGCCCAATGCGTATTTTAAATTAGTGTTTTAGAATTTATCAAAATATCATTCGGTATACTGACGTATAT